ACCATTGTCCTCGGTAACATCCAAGATAGTTTGAGGGGCCGCAGAGTATATTCTTAATTTTGGTGGTATTAAGGTGTGGGAAATAGAAGAATGCTATATGGATTTGCTTCGTGAAAACTGTAGCTCAGTGGTAGAGTAGCGGACCAGAAATTCGTGGACCGGGGTTCGATTCCCCGTCGAGGCACATTATGAGCGTCTCGGCCGCCAGTGAACCAGCCCGTTCTGCTGAAGTGCTTGTAACTGCTCAATGCGATATAAAGTCAACGGCCCCTGCTGCAGTGAAGCAAAAGAAGAAGCGGACTAGATCTGCTCGTAAAACTTTGAAGGGGCTTGAAGACCCAGGAACTAGTAAGACGCCGGCAGTAGAGTGGAAAACTTACGTTACCGTTGCTTCGGCGTCGTTTGTGAAGACAGGGACAGTCGCACCGCCAGTGGTGAAAACAGCTGGTATAGATGTCGACTCCAAGACACGTGGGGTGAACACTTCCCGCCGTGCCGACCGTTTCACGGATAGTAGCGTTATATTCCGTAACGTTACTGAATCTGCGGCCGCTCTCCTAAGGGAACGCGTCTTGGATGACATCAAGTGGCTGAAACTGTGTGTCAGCAAGCTGCTTCCACCTGGTGTCACTGTCAGAAAGCTGACCAGATTGGGGAACGTCCCTATCGCTACGCCAAATCCACGACCCCGACTACTTCGCGTGGTCCTTTCTACCCCGGAGGAACGCAAATCATTACTGCGGTTTGCATTCAAACTTAAGGGTATTGGTGTCAGCGTTCAGTCGGACCTACCACTGGTAGATAGATTGAAGTTAAAGGAGGCTATCAAAGACCTCAAAACTAGACGGGCGGCTGGTGAGCAAGGCCTCCGTCTGGTGGGTTTTCAGGTGGTCAGCCGGAAGTTATTTTCCGCCTTATCAGAACCCATCCTGATGGCACACGACCCAGGGATGGTCGTGCCGACTTCCTTGAGGTAGTACTTAGCAACGTGCGTAGCCTAAGGAACAAGGTGCACGAGTTGGGTCTACTTGTAGACAAATCTCGTCCCGACATGCTTGCTTTCACTGAAACGTGGTTGTCTCCGGATATCACGGACGGTGAGGCATGTTTACCTGGCTACGCGCTGCTTAGAATTGATCGC